GGCATTCTTGCGATCTGGAATGTCGGGCGGCACGCTTGAGGGCCGCGCGTCCCCAGCAGGGTCAACTGGACCCGCGTAGCACAAGCTTAACAATTCGCCCTGCGCAGAGCGCTGGTGCACGCCCGTTTGACCAGCACCAAGACCACGCGCCCCCCAGAAACAATTGTTCAAGGTAAGAGAGCATCCGGCTTTTGGATGATTTGGGTGCCATGTTTCAAACAATAAATGCTTTATTAAAGTATGACGTCCGCTTCGGCTGCTTCGAGCTGTCGCAGCGTTTTTTTGGTAAACAGCGCATCGCTGCTGCTGTTCAACAGGCTGTATCACTCAAGTGGTGATGATTACGTTGATGATGGTGTTGGTGGTGATGGTGGTGATGATAAGGATGTTGTTTGGGATGCGTATGATGATCATGGTGATGGAGGTGATGCTGATGATGTCGCTGTGGATCAGGATTGTGACGACAATTGTGTCGATGATGATGATGATGCTGATGAGGACGGGGATGAGGATGACGATGATGGTCATGATGATGGTGGTGTGTATAGATGTTTCGCCACGGCTTTCGTCGTCGTCCATCGCCGTCGCCGTCGTCGTCGCCGGACACTCTTAGTTTCCGCTCGCCCGACCCGGCCCGCCCGTTAGGGTTTGCCCGCCCCGCCCGACCCGCCCGTTAGGAATCGCAAGTGTTCGCACGATGATGCGTCAGACTTTGATGTTTCGCCCGCCCGACACGACCCACCTGTTATTGTCCGCCCGCTCGACCCCCGCCCGCTAGGGTCCGCCGCCTGCCTGACCGTAACCGCCCGTTGGGGCTCGCGCGTGCTGATTTGTTGATGCGTCATGCCTGGATGTGCCGCCATCCCGACCCGAATCGCCCGCTAAGGTCCGCATTTTCGACCTGACCCGCCCGCTAGGGTCCGCCCGCCCGACCCGACCCGTTTGTTCGGGTCCGCCCGCCCGACCCGACCGCGAACGTCTCCCCACCCGACCCGATCCGTCCGCCAGGGTCCGCCCGCCCGCGGACCCCCCCGTTGGGGTCTGCCCGCCTTACCCGAACCGTCCGTTTGGGCTCGCGCGTTTGAAGTCGATGGCGCATCATATTGTCATGTCCTGCTCGACCCGAACCGATGGATAGGGTCCGCTCGCCCGACCCGACCCGCCCATTAGGGTCCGCCTGCCGGCTGGTGATGGCGGTGAGTGGCGACGAGAGTAGGGGTGATAAAAGGCGACGGTGTCAGTGGATGTGTTGATGCTGTTGATAAGGATAACGATGTTGATGGTGATGATGTTGATGGTGGTGAGGTTGATGGCGATGATGCGGTCGATGGTAATGATGCTGGTGCTTGTAAGGATGAAAATGACGATGTTGATGATGATGGTGATGCTGATGATGATGATGATGTTGGTGATGATGATGAGATGAATGAGGATAATGACGATGATGATGATAAGGGATAGGATGGCGATGACGATGACACAGATGATGCTGATAAGGGTTGTGATGATGATAAGGACGGAGATTGTGATGATGATGATGCTGGTTGTGGTGAAGTTGATGCTGATGGTGGCGACGATGACAAGGGTGATGCTGATAATGATGGTGACGGTGATAGTAATGGTGATGGTGATGATGATGGTGATGATGACGATTATGATTGCAATGATGATGGTGATTATGATGTTGGTGACTCTGATGATGGCGATAATGGTAATGACGATAAAGATGACGAACATAGTAATGATGGGTGTGATGATGGTGATGAGGCTGAGGATGAGGAAGGCGATTCCAGTGATGATTACAGGGATGGTGACGAAGAGGACGAGGATGTTAACGACGGTGATGAATGCGACGGCAATGATCGTGACGATGATGCGGACGATGATGATGATGATGATGACGATGACAATGACGTTGACGATGGTGATGATGATGATGATGATGGTGATGCTGATGATGGCGATGGTGCTGATGCTGATGCTGATGCTGACGCTGGTGATGATGCGGATAAAGATTTTGGTGTTGTTGATGATGATGAGGATGCTGAGGATGCTGATTGCGTTGGTGGTGGTCATGACGATAATCGATAATGATGCTGAGGATGCTGATGCGGACGAGGATTAAGATGATGCTGCTGATGATAATGATGATCATGACGATGATGATGATGATGATGATGAGGATGATGATGATGAGGATGATGATGCTGATGATGATGATGATGATGCTGATGTTGATGATGATGCTGATTGTGATGTTGATGATAGTTTGCAAGTGTTTTGTTTCGTTGTCGTCATTATCATGGTCGTCGCCGCCGTCTCCGTCTTCGTCGCTGTCGTCGTCTTCGTCGTTGTCGGCGTCTTAGTCGACATTGTCATTGTTAGCGTCGACGTCGGCGCCAGCGTCGGCGTCTGCGTTGGTTGTCGTCGTCCTCGTCCTCGTCCTAATCCTAGGCGTTGTCCTCGTAAACGTCGCCGTCGCCGTCGCCATCGTCGTTGTCGTCGTCATCATTGTCGTTGTCGCTGTCGCCGTCGTGGTTGTGGTCGTCATCGTTGTCGTCGTCCGTTTCGTTTGCTGGCGGCGACGTCGTCGTCTTTGTCGTCGGCTGTATTCGTTGGCGTCGTCTGCCGACGCGAGGGCTGCTTCTGGACTCCTCAAGTCCGATTCTGGGGGTGGCGGGGTTCTGAACCCGCACCATCTTTTTTCGGGAGGTGGGAGTGGGTCCAGACTTCCGGTCCTGGAGGGGTGGTGGGGGGGTTTGGGGGGGTCCTCTTGTTTCCCACCACCCCCCATCAGATTCTTGTTCAGTGGCTTGGCATCGCTCGGACGTGTGCATTTTTCCGTCGGCGAGGACCCTCGAGGAGCATCCTTGATCATCTGGCAACAAAAACCGCGCACGAAACCGAACAAAAACACATGAGATGGACGTCCGAGCGATGGCCAGGTGGGGGGTTGTGTGCCCCAGTTTCTGAGCCCCCCCAGAGAAGTTTGTCGGCCCAGCGACGGTGGATCGCGCTCCCTCGGAAAGAGTGGGGACGAAGGCTGATAGTTCCCAGCTGCGGTCGGGGCGCTGAAGAAGGAACCCTTTTCGTTGGGGAGGGGCTCCGTGCTCCTTCATTGTTTCGCAGCTTGCCCCAGGTTTTCCTCAGGTTTTCGATGTGACATCGAAGTTTAAATCATGAGAAGCAGGGGCCTCGTTCCTTCTTTCGGGTTCCCTGGGTCAACGCCCCGACTACATCTTGAAGCATCTTCGTTGCCAGTTTGGCCGCGGACGCTGTGCAGTTGGGACAGGCGACGCCTGCCCAAAAGTCGGGGGCGGAAAAGGGGGGGGTAAAGAGGGGGGTGATGACTAGGAGGGGGTAGGTATCATGGCGTGGGCCATGATATCTCCCCAGATTTCATGGCGCCTCTTCTTATTTCATTACGTCCCTGGCCCCCCCCCGCTGGGCCGCGCACGTGCCGCCGGTCATGATCTGCACCCCCCCTCTCTTGGACACCCCCCTCTTGGCCGCTCCCGACAAAGAGGTGTGGTCATGTGGGTGTTTTGGGCAACGCCCGTTCCGTGGGACTTGGTGCCCCCTGCCTGTCCGCACCTGCTGCCGGCGCGCGGGCGCGCGAATCTTCTTGGGCGCTGCGTAATGGGGGATCATAAATGGGGGGGTGGCGAGTGTGGTCCGAAAGGTACCCAAACGGTACCTAAACGAGCCCCCTGGGGTTCTGGAGGGGCCCGAAAGGGGCACGAAAGGGGACCTTTTCTGACCCACCCATGGAGGAGCGGCAGCACCACCCCAGAGAGGGGCGACCTGCAGAATATCCCTATCCCTATGGTTGACTACATCTCCTCACCCAGATGCCGATCGTAAGGGTTCCCTGAGTTTCTGAGGGTGCCTCCCTCAGATTGTCACTGCCCTGGGGCTCGTCACGCCCGAGTCCGATTCGGACCACCTCTGGCGAGGAGGTCCACGATGCCCCCTCGGGCTGGAGGCCCGGGTGTGCCCCGAGCGAGGCGGGGGGGGGCCCGCACCACCAGCAGGACTCCCTCTTGGCTCCTCGCACCGCTGCTGCTCCTCCTCCTCCTCCTCCTCCTCCTCCTCCTCCTCCTCCTCGTCGCTGGTCTCGATGGAGGGGGGAGGGGGAGGGAAGGAAGAAGGACGAGCAAGACAGCACCACGCCTGTACACAGGCCCCTCGCACCCCACTGCACGGCGCTGGCAGCTGCGGGAGGGAGAAGGGGGAGGGAGGAGGGGGAGGAGGAGGGACAGACTTTCCTTCCTCCTCCCTCCCCCCTCGTTCCCGCTCCTCTCAAAGGGGAAGGGCGGGGGCAGGGGCATGGCGGGCATGGCGGGCGATCTGGAATGCCGTCGATCAGGAGGGAAAGAAACACACAGACACAATTAATCGTCGACTCCCAGGAAGATATAGGAAAATATGGGAAGTGGGGGGGAAGACAAAAACCCAGAAAATATAGGAAAATATGGGGGATCTTTTTATTTGTGTGTATTTATTTGTGTGTCCCAGTTCCCCTTCAGTCGAGGACGAACGAGAGGGTGGGTATGGGAATGGGGAGTCGGGGGGGTGACAGATGGGAGCAGGGGTAACCGAAGAAGACAGGGTGTCATACACACGAACTCTCGGAGGTCCGCGCGGATTGTTGGGATCGGCGCTGGATCCTCCAGGCGGCGCCAGGGCGGGAGGCCCAACGCCGATCGCAGCAATCCGCGCAGACCTCCGAGAGGCTATGAGCACGGCGCCCTGTCTTCTTCGGTTGCCCCTGCTCCCATCTGTCCCCCCCCCGACTCCCTACTCCCGTGCCCGCCCTCTCGTTCGTCCGCGACGGCATCCCAGATCGCCCGCCCTGCCCAGAAGGAAGGAGCGTCAGTCCCTCCTCTCCCTTCCTCCCCCTCCTCCCTCCCGCAGCCTCCGCCGCCCGACGACGAGATGCGAGGGTCGTGCGTGCAGACGCAGGGCTGTCTTGTTTTGTGCCATCTCGCTGCCCCGAGGATGGCATTCCGACCACCCCCCGCTCTCCAGGGAGAGTTGCGCCCGTCGCACCACGGCGCTTGGGAGGGCGATCGATGTGAGGATGAACTGTGTCGAGAGGCTGATCTCCCACGCGCAAAAGTGGACGAGGGAGACCCTGGAGTTTGACATCACGCAGATTCTTCCAACCATGCACCCTCGCATATTCACTCAGCTCTTGGACTGCAAGTTTGACCTGTGGTCGAAGCTGTGCTTCCTCATGTGGATCCCGGAGGCGACGGCACAGAAGATGCATCGCACGCTCTTGGAGCAGATGTGGCAAACTCTTCAGAGACACGACAAGGTCATGGCAAATGGAGAATTGTGTAAGGAATGGACGGAAGAGATCAAGCAGTTGTCTGGGGAACAGCACGTGCGAGCAAAGAGGTTGATTGCCTTGCTGATTCATCACGCTCCAAAGGCAGCCACAATACTTCTAGATAGCTTCTTTCTGCAGGAGCCCACAGTGGAGAGGCCGAACAGAAATCCCGTGGCAATGCAGGCTGTAATCGACAGGTACACAGAAATGAACACAGTGTCGGCGCACGACGGCACATGGACGTTCAACGGCAAGAATATGCAAGGGTGCCAGCCCTGGCAATCTGCGTTGGTATCCTGCTCCACTCTGTTCGATGCGCTGGACTCGTGGGTTCTTGCGGTCCAGTCAACGACTTGTTGCCGGCGACTGCGCTTCCTATGGTCTCGAGTTTCGAGGTGGCTAGTCTTACACGACATGCACAGCGTTTTGCATGTACTCCAGCTCTGTGCACAATGCCGTGCATCGTGCTGGGGATTCCTCCGCGGTTATTCCACCGCATCCGACATTAAGGTGTCTCGGTTCTGCCAGATACGCGTAGTGCACTTCAAGGGGATGCTGGACATACGTATGTTTCGTGCAATGACCCAGATGCCTGTTCAAGAGCAGGTTGACTTGTTGCAAGCGTGTACCACGCTACGCGCTGTTGTGTGCTACACGTACGGGAAGTGGACGTGGTTTAGCACTATTTTATCCAGGATGCTTCGCAGCATGACGCGGGCCGCCCTCCGTGTTCGGTGGGATGGTAGAACTGATTTGGGTAGTCGCGTCAACGTGTAAAGGAGAACGTGTTCGAGGGACGTTGTGTTCTCTCGTCTGAACGATTTTCCAGGATAGCCTGCGACGAGTCGACCAAAACCACATCCCCCAGGGGGGAGGAATGCCAGAGGGGGCAGGTTGAGACCAACGAGGCGGAGGACGAGAACGAGGACACTTTCGCACTTTTTCCCTGGTTGGTTTCTTCTTGCCTATTAGAATGGTTTCCGACGGCGCACATGGAAATAGTCCAGTTTGGAGCGTCTGTTGAACAAACATTCGCGCACGCCGATATTCCAAGCTGCCATTGGCAACTTAACGGTGACAGTTCCGTTTCGCGAGAAATGCGTTGGGAAGGCGTGGCGTGGTGAATAGGAGAGCGCAATCCGTATAGAGCAGAATCGTAAACATTCAAATGAAGGATCGCACAGCGGACTTGAGTACAGTGGCCGAATGCACAAACACAGGATCAGGAACACATTTAACCCAATCAGCGCAGCGCGTATGTGTATATGTACATCTGTGTATGTGGATGTAGATGGATATGGGCTTGTGTATATGTATACGTTCGCAAACGTACGTATATCCAGCTGCTCATGGCACGTCCCGCCGCCGTGCCAGCCCAGCATTGGGTTGTGATTGTTCGAGGGTGCGCGGGAGGCCGTCACGCGTGACACTTCGTGCCCCTAAGTTTGGGACAGCCGTAATGATAATGATGAGGATGAATGGCATGATGTTGACGAGGATGATAAGGATGAGGAGGAGGAGGAGGAGGAGGGGGAGGAGGGGGAGGGGCAGGATGAAGAGGAAGAGGAAGGCCGTCACATGTGATCATTGTCGTCTTCACTTATTGAGGAGCTCTTATCAAGCTCCTTGGGGCCGACTTGGGGATGTCTCGGGCTCCTGAGTGGCAGTCTGGGGGGTCTCTCAGGGCCATGTTGGGATTTTCTTGGGCCGCTTTTGGGCCCTCTTAGGTCGTTTTGGGGCTTTTTTGGGCTTTCTTGGGGCCTTCTTGGCCGTACGGGAGGTGTCGTGGGGCCACCTGGGCGCCGTCTTGGGCTGTCGAAGGGCCTTCGAAGGCCCTCTTGAGAGCCTTTTTGGTTGTCTTGGGGGCATCGCTGGGGCATCGTAGGGCCCTGCCAGGGCGTCTAATGGCTCTCTTGGGGGCCTCTTGGGTCGTCTTGGGCCAGTCTGTGGGACCTCTCCGGTCGTCTTGGGTAACGGAAAGAGCGAGGTACGAGTGATGACGTTCTAGTGTGGGGCGAAGCCCTGAAGGGAGGGGTTCCAGGGGAGGGGGGAGGGCCAGACGCAGGGTTGGTAATGGCCATTTTCGGGTTTTTCCTTAGGGTTTTTGCATGTTGTTCGGGTTCCCCCCCAAGACGGCCCAAGAGCGCTCCAAGAGAGCCCAAGACGGCCTAAGAGGCCCCCAAGAGGCGCCCAAGGGGCGTCCCAAGAGGGCCCCAAGAGGTCAAAATTATTGATTTCCCATAGGAAAACGTGCATTTTTTGAATATACGGTTTTTCGGCTTTCACGGCGTTGACAAGGGCCCAAGAGGCCCCCAAAACGGCCCAAGAGGGCGCCAAGACGGCCCAAGAGGCGCCCAAGACGGCCCACGAGGGCCCCAAGACGGCCCCAAGAGGGGAACCACCCCAAGAAGCTCTCAGGAGGCCCCAAGAGCCCCCCAAGAAGCCCCAAGAGGCCCCCAAGAGGCCCCCAGAGGACTCCACAAGGGCTCCAAAAGTGCCCCAATATGACGCCCAAGAAGGCCCAGCGATGCCCAATAAAGAGTGATCGGTAACGCAAAAGCTCTTCACACCAAGGCTCCCAAGAGCGAACGGTGACGTAAACAAGCTGATAAGACCATGGCTCCCAGCAGGGAGCGGTGACGTCACAAGTTCCTGACACCAAGGCCCAGCCACGGCCCAGGAGCGGGCGGCAGCGCAACAATCTCTGAACACCAAGGCTCCCAAGAGCGAGGGGTGACGTAACGAGCTCTCAGCGCCAAGGCTCCCAGTACGAACGGTGGTGTGAGTAATTCCCGCTTCTGTTTCTGAAGCGCTCTTTCCGTTTCCGTGCCGGCCCAGGTTTTCGGAAGATTGATATGCGAGAAGGTAAGTTGTTATCTATTCACCCTTTCTTGGGGGTCTTCTTTGGGCATCTTAGAGGTGCATTGGGCCGTCTTGAGGCCATATTGGGTGTTCTTCAGGCCTCTCCAGCGTGTTGGAGCTTGCCTGGAGCCATCTTGGATGGCATTTGGGGCATCTTGCCTCGTACATCGTGCCCCCTCCCCGTCTCTGCTTGCCTCCTTATCCTTCTGTTTCGGGCCCCTCTCGCTCATCCCCCCTCCCTTCTCTTCCCTCTCGTATTGTCTCCATTTGTCTTCATTGTTCCTGCCATCTCCAACAATTCATCTTTTCTCCCTCAACCATCCCCCCTCCATGGTTTTCCCGCGACTTTTGCGCGTGCGTCTGGCTAGAGCTCTTTCTTGCATGCGTGTACTGTAGAGTCAATAACACTTAAATTACCGGAACATAGTTTCAATAATTATTTTTCCGCCTTGTAATTGGGGCATGGGGGGATTTGCGAATTGTGGGGGCTTCTACATAGGAAAAAAGCAGGAGTTGAGAGGATGTGGGAATTGGGGGGGATTCTACATCGGAAAAAGCAGGAGTTGGGGAAGATTTGGGAATTCGAAAGGATTCTACAAAGGAAAAAACAGGATATGGAGGGGATCTGGGAATTGGGACGGATTCTGCATAGGAGTAAGCAGGAGTTGGGGACGATCCGGGAATTGGGGGTGACTCTACAAAGGGAAAATCAGAAGTCGGGGAGGATTTAGGAATTCGGGAGGATTCTACAGAGGGAAAGCATGAGTTGGGGAGGATTTGGGAATTGGAGAGGATTCTACAAGGGAAAAAGCTGGAGATGGGGAGGATTAGGGAATTGGGAGGGATTCTACAGATGAAAAAGCAAGAGTCGGGGGGTATTGTGGAATTGGGGAGGTTCTACGGAAGGACAAAGCCGGAGTTGGAAAGGATTTGGGGATTTGGGGGGGATTTGGAAATTCGGGAGGATTCAGGTCTTGAAAAGATTTCACATAGGAATGAACAGGCTTTGGTGAGGATTTGGGAATTGAGGAGGATTCTACAAAGGAAGTAGCAGGAGTTGGGGAGGATTTGGGAATTCGGAGGGATTCTACGGAGGAGCACGTAAGAGTTGGGGAGAAATTGGGAAACCGGGAGGATTCGACAGAGGAAGAAACATTGGTTGGGGAGGATTTGTGATTTTGCGTGCTACAAATGAGAAAGCAGGAGAAGGGGAGGATTTGGGAATTGGGGGGGATTCAACCAAGTAAAAGGTAGGAGTCGGGGAGGATTTGGGAATTTGGGGGATTCTACAAAAGGAGAAAGCAGGAGTCGAGGAGGATTTGGACATTGGGGAGGGTTCTACAGAGGAAAAAACAAGAGTTTGATAGGATCTTGGGAGGGTCGAGGATTTCTACGAGGAAGAAGCAGGAGTTGGGGAGGCAATGGAAATTGGTGAGGACTCTACAGGAAGGATAATGCAGGAGTTGGGGAGGATTTGGGAATTTATGCGGATTCTACAGAGGAGAAAACATGAGTTGGGGAGGATTAGGGAATTGGGTGGGGGGTTCTACAGCGGAACAAAAAGAGTCCGGGAGGATTTGGGAATTGGGGAGGATTCCACATAAGGAAAAACATGAGTTGGAAGGATATTGGAATTGGGGAAGGTTTCACTGAGGACCAAAGCAGGATTTGGAAAGGATTTGGGAATTGGAGAGGACTCTAAAGAGGAAAACGCAGGAGTTGGAGAGGATTTGGGAATTGGGGGCGATTCTCAACAGGAGAGAAGCATGAGTTGGGGAGGATTTGGGAATTGGCGAGGTTTGCGCACAGGAGAAAGCAGGACAAGGGAAGGATTTGGGAATTGGGGAGGATTCAACAAGGTAAAAAGTAGGAGTCGGGGGGGATTTGGGAATATGGGGGATTCTACAAAAGGAGAAAGCAGGAGTCGAGGAGGATTTGGAAATTGGGGAGGATTCTACAGAGGAAAAGCAGGAGTTGGAGAGGATCTTGGGAGGGTCGAGGGTTCTACGGAGGAAGAAGCAGGAGTTGGGGAGGAAATGGCAATTGGTGACGATTCTACAGACCGGAAAATGCAGGATCCAGGGAGGATTTGGAATTTGGTGAGGATTCTACAAAGGAAACAGCAGGAGTTGGGGAGGCTGTGGGAATTAGGGAATGCATACATATAACGGCGCACCAGGTCCGGAGGCCGAGGGCCAGAAGCTCGACCGCAAATGTGAGAGCCCGGGCTCGCGTCCCGGAGGCCTAACATCGCCCCGGGGAGCCCTCGGCCAGCAATCCCGGCGCCCCCAGACGGTCTGGAGACACCCCCAAGACGCCGTCCAGTGGTCTTTGGCGACGCGTTTTAAATTGCCCCAGAGGCCCCCAAGATGCCCGCCCGAGAGCACCCCCCGAGAGGGCCAAATCGTTGATTTTCATTGTTTCTCAGTTTTTGTTGCATTCTCGCTGTTTCGTGTTTCCAGCGCTACAGCACCGCCCAAGAGGCTCCCAAAACCGCTCCAAGACGGCCCAATAGGCCCCGAAGACGTTCCAAGAGAGCCCCGAGACGGCCCCAGGGCCGCCCAAGACGGCGCAAGAGGGTCCCAAGAATGCCCCAAGAGGGGCCCAAGAGAGGGAACGCTGACAAAAAAGTCCAGCTCTCCGCCCCAAGACGCCCCAAGAATCCCCCAGGAAGCCCCCAAGAGGCCCCAATAGGCCCCCAAGAGGCCCCAAGAGGCCCCCAAGAAGCCCAAGAGGCCCCAAGCGCCTCGGGGGCCCCTGGACCGAGGCGGGGGGGGCCCCGACGCGCCACGGGGGTGTCTGGGCGCCAGGCACGCTTCCAACCCGCCCAAGACAG